TTTTTTTTTTCAGCAAAATTATTGTCGTACTTTTAATTACAAAAACAGCAGCAAAACCAATGACTGTTTTAGAAAATCTTAAAATAATTTAGCGTAATTCCACTCTTACAGTGTTTCAGCAACGCTTTAGACGCGTAAAAGAAAGGTTAGAACACAATAACAGTGAAAACTTTTTGAAGTTAATCAATTACGTTGTGCTGAGTGTTGTAACCGTAATCACAGTAATGGAAAAAGTAAGAGTGGTGGCTCAAGCAGTAACATTTGAAATCCATACGGCAGTTTTTTTTTTGGTAATTTTTACTTAGGTTTGCCGAAAAAAATCCTTCGTATTCCGTAACAAATTCTTTACTGTGTTGTGTGCAGAACAAAAAATCATTGTGCTGTAATTGGGCGAGCTTTTTAGTTTATTCATCAAATCGGTGGCAATATAAAAATTTTTCATTAAGAAAGCGGCAGTAATCAGAGTACAATTGAAAAAATTAGAGCAAAACAAAAAACTTTCTTGTTTCCTTGACTAAATTGAAAAAATGAGGCCAGTAAAGAGGTGGCGATTTGACGAGGGGAGGGGGGCGGTGGGGGATGAGGAAGAGGGACAATGCAGAACACGAAGACCGAAAAGAGCTGTTGATCGCATCGAGTTTGTGTACATAATAGGAATGATGGATAAATGGCTTTTTGGTGAATGTTTAGTCAACAGCCATCAGCCAGTAAGTCCTTTAGTTTCGCTTGTTTTTGATTACAATGATGGTACTGCTTTTATTGATGTATTCAATGCTTTCACTGATGCTGATACTAAAGCTGGTGTAGGTGGTACTGCTGACAGCAATGCTGCAGCTCTGTTGAAACTGTTACTGTTCCGTTGAAACAGAATTATATTCAGCCATCAACCAAAAACATCCATATTCATCTCGTCGATCGTTTTTTCGATGTAGCCAACCAATGATAGGAATTTCTGAAAAGAAAATAGCAATGTTTTTATTCAGTCAAAAAATTCTCCTTTTTATTGAAGAATAGGCGTAATAGTGCGCCAAAAGTAGACTATTCTTCGAATATTTTTTCGATATTTTGTCTATTTTCACACTTTATCTTTGTTCATCTGTT